GTCACCTTTTTCCATTCCAGTTATCAACGTGTGCTGTTTTAGTGTGTGATCAGTTCCCTCTGGACATCTGGGTGGAATCTTTTGATTTTTTCCTCATCTACTTCTGTGATGAGAGGATAGACTTGGATCATGAGTATATTGAGAGATTTCACCTGGAGTCTTATTGATATTATTCAATTACTCTCCATATTGTATCCACTGACTGTTTTTGGTAACTATTAATGGCATTCAATTTCTTCTTTGATGGTGTGATTAAATGATAGGATTGAAAATGCCCCATTCCTGTCCACTTTTGCTAATTCACAGCAAGTAATTTCTGATTTAGGGCAACCCTAAGGTGAAACCTGGAGGATGTGGTAGCTGAGTGGTTAACACGCCAATTCTAACATCCTTAAGGTTGGAAAGTTAGAAGTTCAAGGCCCATGATGGGGTGAGCTCCGGTCACTAGTCACAGCATCTACCAACTTAGCAGTTCAAAAGCATGAAAATGCAAGTAGATAAACAGGTAACATTTCAGTGGGAAGATAACAGCATTTGGTGAAGTCATGCTGGCCACATGACCACCAGAGTCGTCTTCAGATAATGCTGGCTCTTTTGCTTACCAATGGAAATGAGCACCAGCCCCTACAGTCGGTTACAACTAGACATCCATGTCAAGGGAAAACCTTTACCTTTACCTTTACCTTTACCTTTACCTTTACCTTTACCTTTACCTTTACCTTTATGGTGAATCTATCACAGGTTTTTGTGCCCAAATTTGTTGAGAGGGTTTTGCCTTGCTGTCCTCTGATGCTGAGAGATTGTGACTTGCCCAAGATCACCAAGTGGGTTTCTATGTCCAAGTAGGGATTTGAACCCTGGTTTCCAAATGTCCTAGTCCAGCACTCAAACCACTACTACACCATGCTGACTCTTCCAAACATGTCACCCCATATTACTGCTACTGCCCAGTAGCTGTTTGGTACATTTAGTCTGGTTCTTCAACAAAAGCTTGTCTGATGAAATGCGAAATCCTACCAGCAGCAATGTTATCAGCAATACCCTCTTGCCTCACAAAAACGTGCAATTCCCAACACTATAGAAAGGTAATGCCAGAGTGGGATTAGAGATGTCATACAGCCTGCTTGTTTTTTCTTCCATACAGATTTTTTTATTTATTATCTGCATATTGATCCATTTTAGTTGTATCCTGTCTATTTCCCTAGGCCTTATGGAGTTCTTAGGGAGGCCTATGTAGAAATAATCCCAACAATCCTATGAGGGAGTTTATTTAAAACAACTGATCAGGATAACTCACAAAACTCATAGCTGAGCAGCGTTTAGCAACAGCTTCTCTTTTCCCTGTACTTGCCATATTCTCTGGTCTTTCTGTTGGCTTGTGTAATGGAAGGACCTGTGCTGTTTCTAGTTTTGGTTAAAAAGCACTCCCTCTTAAAAAAAAGAAGAAGAAGAAGGCTTTAACTACTTTTTAGTTCCATTCATAGGGGAAGCTAGAAAAAAAGGAGATACCTCAAAGGCAGTGGCAACCATGGTGGTTTTCAGATACTCTGAAGACAGGAGTTTAAGGCTGAGCAATCTGTTTAAAGAAACTGGTAAAATATTTTAAACCACCACTTTATATAAACTATTGTGCCTCCTTCAGTAAACACTCAGTACATGAGTGAACCCTGTATGAACTTGTGCTTATTGCTGGTTAAATAGAACCTAAAGCTTAAATGAAAAAGGGGGGTTTGTTATTGAGAAGAAGACAAAAAGTTGCATACTTTTCTTCCTTTTTTTCCCCCTTTTCCTTTTTTGCCCACACACAAGCTTTTACCCCACAAAGTATTGCACTCACAGGGTCTTTTTATTAAAACACCCTGTTTTTTTATTTTTCTTTCTAGGCCTCAAAGTACTAAACTGAAAGCAAGCTGTTAACAGAAATGAGTAATTATTGAAGCTCTAACAGGCAGCTTTCATTGAAGTTGATTACAGCAGCCATATAATCACTTTTACGGATGCTGTAATCACAGTAGCAGGGAATGCTTGACTTGGTTCTTATTGTTTTCACTCGGGGTGGAGGCAGGGGGCCTGCGAGAAACCCGTTTTACCACCTCGGTGCAATTTCTTCTGTAAAAGAAATCTACACACCACTGAATGAGGCAAGGAATCATTTATTCTTTCTTTATTAGCATTTTCCCCCCTCCCTCGATGTAAGAGTCTGTTGGAGTCAGGAAATTGCTGTTATTCAATATGCAAGCCAGAGGTTGTAATGACCATTTGGAAGGGGTATGGCCAACAATTACGGCCCTTAATGAATAGAGTAATCTGGTAGAGACTAAATGCAAGTAGCAACTATGGGGCTGTCTCTGGTTAAATTAAAAGAACAGCAATGCAAAGGAAGTTAACAAGAATTAATTAGTTAGATCGAACTGAAAACCTACTCATTAGCAATGTTATAGGCAAACTAAAAGCCTATCTTCAGTGCAATTAGGTAGACAAATGAATTGTACAACTGACTGACTTGCACCTGCTAACAGCTAAAGGCTATAGCTGATATGTACGGGATTCACTTTTTACAGTTCATGCATACTTGCATAGTTTAATGGATCTTGTGTTTCTGCATAACACCCTCTCATTTTTGCTAGTATATTTGATCTAACTATTTTAAGTGCTATTTTTGATAGCTTCTGATATAATGTGGCTGTCTGCTATAAGAAGGATTTAACAAGGGTGTCACATAATGAACAAAGCTTTTAGTTCAATACAGGCAAAACACTTACTATGATACATTTTATTCCAGCTCTTGTTTGTAACACAATTATCTTGATTCCTAAAGCATCTGTGTAGTGAGAAAACCATGACTGTTTGGATATTTTTTTTCTTAAAATGTAGAAAATGAAATGATGTGAATCTTAGATACACAGATTTGCTGTTTACAAAAAAAGGATGGAAACAGAAAAGAAACCCAGAAAGGCTTGCACTGATTCTATTCCAAAGTTTTCACTGATATGTTTGGCATTCAGGGGATGAAACATTAAAGTGATCCAGCACACACATATGCATGGGAAAATATTGTCAGGATTGATAATCTAATAATGTTTCTTGGAGCTGTCCACAAGATTCCACTTAGAGGAATATTCCTGTAAATAAAGCATGGCTAACCAATTCTGATGTAACTTTTCCACATGTATGAGTTCACAAAATCACACTAAAAGGTCATTCTGCACACTACAGATATTCCATAGGATGCAATCTTCTAAAGTGTGTATATTTTGCTCAATTTCAGAGACAAAGCTGTGTAAGCACAGACTATCATACAGTCAAGAATGTGTTGTGGTTAACTGCCCTCAATTGACACCGACTCATGCAGACCCTGTGGATGCAATATCTCCAAGACCACAAGTCTCTTTTTTTGTGGATGGGGATGTACACTGATTGTTTCCAGTCTGTTGGCCACCATTTTGTTTTCCATATTTGTTGATATATAATGGTTAGCTCTAGAGTTGCTTCTGTCTGTGTGGATTGTAGCAGTTCAATTGGAATATCATCTGTTCCTGGTGATTTATTTTTCCCAATTTCTCTTATTGCAGCTTCCACCTTAATGTGTAGAATCTGGGGCTCATCTTCATGTGTTTCCTCATTCCATGTGTCATTCATTTTTTCATTTCTTTTATACAATGCTTCCATGAATTGCATCGAGCATCTTTTTATTTCTCTTTGATTTTATAGTATGTTCCTTTTCTTGTCATAGAGCATCCCTGCCCTTGGTTTAAATTTTCCTTTGAAAATTTCTCAGAACATGTGGCATAGGTCTCTTGTTCTTCCTTTTTTTGTTGCTGCCTTCTGTTTCTCTACATTGATCATTATAGTGGTTCTCTTTATCCTTATGCACTAGTCACTGAACAGTTGCATCCATGGTTCTGGTTCATTCCTATCTCCCTTTTCTTTGCTTCCCTTCATTCTTTAACTGCTTGAAGCATTTCATCTATTATCCATTGTTTCTTCTTTTAAAATGGTTTGCATCTTGAAGTATTTCAGAAGGTTCTCACATGTCAGTATAACATAGCCTCTGTGGTAGCTAAAGAATTGGGCTCTGGTGTTAAATTTAACACTTAATTTAATTGATCTTCAGTTTAAAGTCAAGTTTAAACAGCTATTGAGGTCCAAAATTAACTGGATAGCCCAGGAGTATAACTTGGCATAGGGATGTGAGGATGTTGCCCCCAAATAAGAATTCTGACCTCTCCTCAAAAGAAAGTTTCCTTCAGACCTCACATTTCTACCATTGCAGTAGCTTAAAACGTTACTTGAATATTGAGAATTTCAGTTTAGGCATTAAAAGGGGCAGTACAAGTTACCGAGGGAAAGTGAACACAGTTCAAGGGGATAATGACTTTGAATGTCTCACTATGTGGCATGCTAGAAACTTGGGAACTGGATGGAAATTTAATTTGTAGGTCAGATTACTTATTTGTGGGGCAATGCTCTATTTTTTGCCTCCCACCCCATATGTACACCCCTGTGATTGCCTAATACAGATCACTACCTCTCTTACCTCTCACAGAATCTTTGTGAAGCAAAAAAAAAAAAAAAAGAGGGGAGCTCCTTATTTGTTGTTTAGATACAAATGTAACAAATACTACAGAAATTTGAGTATGAATAGTAATCTTCATATTTTAGGTTACTATGTAAGACGGTTCTTTCCTTTCCAATCAGTTAAAAGGCATAATACCTCTGAACATAATGCCAAAACATAGCTACTGTGACTAATATTTGCTGCAGTCTGATCTTTCAGCAATATCTCTAATTTCCCTGAAAAATACCATAATTTATTGTTGATGTTTTTGTTGTGCCTTCAAGTTGTTTCCAACTTATGGTGGCCCTAAGGTGAACCTATTGTGGGGTTTTCTTGCCAAACTTTGAGGCTAGGAGACTTTTTTTTCAGAGGGGGTTTGCCATTGCCATCCTCTGAGACTAAGAGAATGTGACTTGCCCAAGGTCACTCAGTGAGTTCACATGGCCAAGCCAGGATTTGAACCCTGATATCCAGAGTCATAGTCCAATGTTCAAACCACTACACCATACTGGCTCTCAATAATGCCACCATAATGTCCTTTTCCTTTAAAAAATCATAAATGGCTTCCTATTTTAGCTTTCCCCCCCCCCATGTGTGTCTAGGGTGGCCCACAGAGAAATGGGACCACCAGTAATGCACTATTTTCTCATTATGCTACAGGTTGTGTATCCTTTATCCAGAATGCTTGGAAACAGAAGTAGTTCGGATTTTGGATTTTTTTCAGAACTTAGAATATTGGCAGATACATAATGAGATATCTTGGTGATGGGATCCAACTCTAAACATAAAATTCAGTTATAATTCATATTCACCTTATACACATAGCCTGAGGTGATTTTATACACTGTATTTTTCATAATTTTGTGCACAAAGCAAAGATGTCACTATCACAGCCACCCATGTGGAAAAGTTTGGATTTTTGAGTATTTTGGATTTTAGGATTTCAGATAAGGGATAGTCAGCCTATACTGACATTCTCTGAAGGAAGGATTTCTAAAGATGACTCTTCCTTCATGAGTCCATGTACCTTTCCTCGCTCTTCTCCATTTCCATACCCTTCCCTTTTGTACCTGTTTGGCCTTGAGGCAGCGGTCAACACACAATAATAGCTGTACTAAAGGCATAAGTACTTGTGTAGAGGTATTTTCAACAGCATTCCCCTTACAATAAGCCCTGAAACACAGAGAGTCCAAGATGTTTAATGTCCATGCTATGAGCAGAGGCATTCCAGAAAATAGTGCTTCTGTTGCAGTGTCGCAGACACCAAGCAGAGCCTGGAAGAAATTAGATAGAAATAACTAGTTACTGTAATCCTCATTTTCAGCAATGAAACTTTAATTATGACTATAGCTAAAGCAACACTAATGTCATACAATAGGCCCTCCATATACACAGGCTTGTCATCCATGGATTCCAGCATCCACAGATGACAAGCTCACATGGGGTGGGGGGGCAGAGAAGGAAGAGAAAGAGAGAGGTAAAGGAGCTGTGATTCCCTATCATGCCCATGTTCCATGAAAAACTGAATGTTATCTCCATGTAATGTATGAAACAGGTCCAGTTTCCCTGTACTGCAAGAATGGCTTCAATCTGACACATTATACTGCTTTAATAATTGAAGAAATGCTGTTTGACTTTATTCTCCACCAATTCTCTTTTTTGCTGAAGGAAAATGTTAAGTAATATTGATAAAATATTATTGAATGTTTCACTGAAAGTTAGACTGGTCATAAAAACACAAATGGTGCCTTCCGCAGTGCCTTCTTTGCAAATCTTACAGTAATTTTATGTGCTACTTCCAGGCTGCACCTGCCTGCACAATGAGTAAAGTATTCATCTATTGTTATTGCTGTTAACATCACAACTATGTTAATCAATCACACAAAACTGTTTTATATCACATGCAAAAGGTTATTAATGCCTTATTGTGTAAAAGCTTACCTAAGCTGATGTTCTCAAAACTGAAACATTTAATCACATTTGTCATATTTTGGGGTTTTTTGCTGAATGCACAACATCGTGTAAAAGTAATTAAAATGCCATGCGACAGAGAATACACTGGGAATATATTGATGAAGAAGATGGATGCACAAAGAAGACACTGCATCTGGAATTATCTAATATGCTTTCTTGTTAATGAAAGAGAAGTAAATCCAAATATGAACCATGATGATGAAGATCTTTGAGTGGGCCAAACAGTGGGCCAGATCTCATACTGAAAGAATAAGAAACTCATAGAATTTAAGAGTTGAAAGGGACTACGGGGGCTATCCAGTCCATCCCCCTGGCATGCAGGAATACATAACTAAAGCAACCCTGAGTGATGGCCATCCAACCTCTGTTTAAAAACCTCTGGTATCCACCACCCTCCAAGGAAGTCCATACTACTGTTGAACAGCCCTTACCGGGGGTGGGGGGAATCTTTCTACAGGTTGATTTTGGATTTATTTGTTTATTTATTTATTTATTTGGATTTTGGAGTATCTGCATATACTTAATATCTTTGAGATAGGACCCAAGTCTAAACATAAAATTCATTTATGTTTCATATAAACCTTATAAATATAGCCTGAAGGTAGTTTTATACAATCTTTTAAATAATTGTGTGCATGAAACAAATTTGTGTACATTAAACCATCAGAAAGCAAAGGTATCACTGTCTAAGACACCCACGGGGGAAAAATTGGATTATGGACTAGTATGGATTTTGGAATTCTGGATAAGGGAGACTCAACCTGTAATGTTTAGGTGGAATTTCTTTTCTTGTAATTTGAATCCATTAGTTTAAGAGAACTATTAACAGCCAACATAAAGCAGGGAGAAATTGTGGGGCATGGTTTTTTTATGCATAAAAATCAAGCATTAAATTCATATGAATTTTAAATGAAAATTTGCAGAGAATATACTTTGAAAATGTCTTACGAAATCTGCAGCTATTTTGACACCATTAGGCTGTGTACCCTGCTCTTGGACTGCAACACACTTTATCTTGTGTAGGATGATACAACATCTGTTGGCATGCTGAAGATTCTGACTTTGTGTGAACTGAACATTCTTCTGCTAGTCTTTATGTTTAGGAACACCCAAATTTTAAAGACATGCATGGTAATACAAATTGATAATTGCCCTTTCCAAGATGGTTTAACTGTGTAGAGCAAAAGTGGGACTGAAAGTGTGGCCCTTCAACACCTCCTGAAGCCCCTGAAAGACTCCAGATCCCCTCCCCATTTTAAATTTTAGGAGTGACTTTTCCACCCAAATTCTCCCCACTAAAACAAGACAAAACCACTCCAATTTGAAACATTTCTCTCCCTATCATCATGTACCTCCAAAAGAAAAAAAGGTCCCAAATCAGCCCAAATAGAAAATGCAAGTGACATGACATCACTTCAAGTTACATTGGATGCATTTGAACCAGTTACTGATAACTGTGGGGGCAAAACCTACACACACACACAACCCCTACACAATTGGCTATCTCTGATGTAGCAAATGGGGATGGATATAAGGAGGCAGCATCACGGCTACACGCTCTCTAAATCCACCCACTCCAGGCTACTTTCAGTGCATTCCCTTGAATGTCTGACCATTGAATGTCTACCTGAGATCTTATGTGTTCACAAGTGTACATCTGTAGGCTCATTTCAGAAAGGTGGAGAAATGCTTGCCAATATAGTCATACACATGCAAACATGTTCTATATCAGGGGTAGGCAACCTAAGGCCCGGGGGCCGGATGCGGCCCTCCGAGGCCTTTGGACCGGCCCCAGGCCGGTCCTGCCACCGCCGCCCCCCCTCCCCGCCATGATGACATTATTGTTATTACTTGTTCTTGGGGTTTTCTTGGCAAAATCTCCACAGGATTTTGCCATGGCTTTTCTGGGGCTGAGAGAGAGTGCATGCATATTTGTTTATTTTTTTAAAAAATATATTTATTTATTTATTTATTTATTTATTTATTTATTTATGGTGCTTTGGCCCCCCAATTGTCTGAGGGACAGCAACCCGGCCCCTGGCTCAAAAAGGTTGCCTACCCCTGTTCTATATGGTTGGAAAGTGTCTAAAAGAGGGAAGCTGGCAAGATGAATGAAGAATCAAGAACACCCTTCATTATTCAAAAACAAGCCACAGCTGTTAAAACCAGGACACATAAGCTACCTTGTGTTTATTGTTGAGCCCAAGAGGTTCAATCTTTTGCTAAAACTTAATTGCACTGAGAGTTGTGATCTTCTGAAAAATTGTCAGCATAGAAACATGCACATATTCAGAATCTTCTATAATCTTCACCTTTTCGCCAGATAATTTGCTTGGGAAGGTTGAAGGTGACAACTTGTTTGTGGGTATAATCTTGGCTATGGGTTATAATTACATAACTCTGTATAAAACTACATATTCTGTAGTTTACTTGTGAAAATATGTTCATGGCTGCCACTGAGACCCCACCTGCCTCCCAAAATGTAAATATTAAGTGTACAGGGCAAGAAGGTAACTTTTCTTCCTTTTCTTTCATGCATGGCATGTAATTGAACATTTGTTAAGGGCTTGCCATGATAATTCAAAACTCAACATGCTAGGAAATGAAAGCTGTTAAAGGTTAGAGCCTTAAGAGATGCACTACTTGGGAACTTAGTTCTAGCTTCACCATAAAGTTTGACTAGAACAGTTGTCAATAATAGAGTGGCCAAGATTTGTCTAAATATTTCAGTCTAGGCAACTGAAGCTATCATATTAAGGAAGCTGTCATTCCCAGTTGTGAGTATGCAACTGTCAACTTGAAAGGTCATCTTTTTCATCCAATGGCCATTTTAGCAGTGGGATTCTGATTGCAGTTTTCTGAAAATGTAATTTCCCTATTCTCTGCTTACAGGTAAAGAATTCTTCCTTAGCTCCTACTGTCTATCTATCACACGTGGTAGGACTGCAGCTCTGTAAGCTCAGATTTCCCTCCCCAAGTCAAATTGGAAATTCCCACCATGTAGTTGCCATTCCATGTGTGTCTTGACTTGATGGAAATGCAAATGCCTATTATTAAAAAGAAGACTTCATGTTCTACATTTTAAAGGAAAGGGAGACAAAAATGTTTTGCAATCAGTGCGTCTTGCAAATTCTTCTGTGAATGAAGTAGTCTATCAGGCCCAAGCATCATTATATATCTATTAAATCTAAATATATCTATTATATATTAGACATAATAGACCCAAGCATCATTATATCTATTATATCTTAATAAAATATTTTATCTTATATTTTAATATAACTATAGTAGAAACCTTTACTACTTCTTATCACATTTATCTGCTAAGCAAAGAGACATTTATCTGCTAATCCTACACGTTATTAAAGTACAGAAGAAATTTATTAATTAAGAAGTGTGCTGTCACTCTGGCACTTTCTGCCTCCCCCCTTCTATCAATGCTTTCATTTTAGTGGTGGTGGTGGTGGTGATGTTTTTAGGAATTTGAGCATATGCATCAGAATCTTCTTAAAGAAACTATATTAGTGGCACATGCTTGT